TCATTTTCTCAAACTTTGATGAATTTTTAAAATTAAACTACTTGTCGTAAGGCCGTAATATTTCAGTATGTTCTATAGGACCATGATATATATCGCCAAAAAAAGTTTCATAAAAATCGGCTTAAATTTTTTTTCAACAGTTAATTACAAGAAAACGGCTTGGTAGATTTTTACTAAAACTAATCAGTATCATTCCCATCTAATATCTTTCGAACAGTTTTTGATTTTTAAAATCGGTTCGGTAGTATGAGCTTAAATGTGGACGAAAGGTTAACACTTTTTCCAAATTACAAAGAAAACGGCTCGGCCGATCGTCGCACAAAACTGAGAAACGATAATCCTCATCGAGATACATCAAATGCTTTTAAATAATCTGAAATCGGTTCAGGCGTTTTTGAGCAAACGTCGATGAAAGTTCTAATTTTGACAAATGCCAAAAAGACCATACTAATTTTTGCAAACTTTGATGAATTTTTAAAGCTAAATCAGTTGTCGTAGGGCCGTAATATTTTAGTATGATCTAGTCTAGAAGACCATGATATCTATCGTCCAAAAAAAATCAAGAAAATCGTCGATTTTTTTTTCAAAGTTATTTACAAGCAATTTCTTTCCTTATTGCCCCATATTTAATGCTAAGCTAAAATACACGTAAAGTAATCAAACAAAATTAGTATTTGAAGTAATAACTCTGTAATCTGATTCAAAATAATTTACAAGCTCAGACAAATATCATAATGATATTTAACCGTTCCCTAAAATTACTGGTAATTTCGTCAAATACAAATTACTTCAAAAACCCCAATAGAAGGTTTTATATAATCGTACCATATAAAATATAATAATTCAATTCAATATGAAGGCAGAGAGAAATTCCAAAAAATGATTATAACCATGCAAATGACTTTCCTGAAGCTTACTCGAATATCGAATTAGCAATGAGTGAGCTTAGAGTGTTTAGTAATGCAGTTTAAATAACGATTTATCAGAATAATCCCATGTCCTACCTCCAATGCTGGCGTTGTAGGCCACTCCGATTCCGCAATAATTATTATAAGCTACCGCAGCTACTTCTCCGGCGCATCTGGTGCCGTGCTTATTGTCACCATTGTCCTGGGGCATTGGGTCGTCGTCGTTGTCGTTGATATCAGTCGAGGCGGCTGGATCCTTTTTAGAAAAACGGACAGATGAATTAGTTTATTTTTATTTCTAACATAAATTATAATATGCCTTATATTATGATTGATGGTACGCTTAATTATAATGATTTTTGAAAGGTGTTAGACCTTACATTATTGGAAAACATATAGAAAGTTATAAAGTTATAACATATATATATATATAAATATATATATATATATATATATATATATATTATATATATATGTATTATATGTTTGCATGTGTGTATATGTATATATATATATGTATATATGTATATACGAGGTGTGTTCAAAAAGTACCCGGAATTACTAATAATTAAATTTCGCGGGTCTGGAGTGTCTGATTGTCAAAATTTTTTTTTTATTGTGTTGGTATACATGCCCCTAAAGTATGATGAAATTTTCAGCTATATTCACTGTTTACTTTGTCTGTGGTAGTCGCTAAGGTTCGACGTGTTTTTCTGAGCTCGGCGATTTTTACAATGGAAGAATTGAAAAGTCAAAGAATTTGTATTAAATTTTGCGTACAAAATGAAATAAAGTGTTGCAAAGTGCAAAAAATTCACCAGATATGGCTCCGTGTGACTTTTTCCTATTCCCAAAGTTGAAGAGACCCATGAAAGGACGGCGGTTTTCCTCGATTGAAGAAAATCGCTGAGAGTGCTCAAGGACATATCAAAAAGTGAATATCAAGGGTGCTTCGAAAATTGGAAAAAACGCTGGCATAAGTGTATTATATCTGGGGGGGACTACTTTGAAGGGGACCACATTAATGTAGACGAATAAATAAATATTTTTTTGAAAAAACGAAAATTCCGGGTACTTTTTGAACAGACCTCGTATATATATATAAATATGTGATTATATGTGCATGTATATATATATGTATATATGCGTAGGTTTATATGAGTGTACTTATATATTTTTGCCTATATTTTTTAATTATTTATTTAATTCTAGTCTCTATTACCTTTCCTATCTTTTATATTTTGTTTGTTGTTAAGTGTTGCTGTTTGTTAATTTTTCTCTTATTGTATAGTTACTATACCAATCCACATATATTATAATTACCTAGATATACTAATTTTCATACTGTTTTTAGATCCACTGATGATGACATTAAATTGAATGCCGAAACGTTTGGAATTAAAGATTATTTTATAAATTTTTGCCTTTTCTTTGTTTGATGTATCGCCCTCAAGAACTCACTCATATATTTCAACATCAAAATTAACTACTAAATCATATATATATATATATATATATATATATATATATATATATATAATATAATATATAAAGAAAAATTTACAAAATGAACTTCAATATAAATATAATCTTGCTTAATAATCATTTTGTTAATATAGTCTTCTTGAATCAGAAAAGGTTTGTATATATAATACCACAACTAATTCGTTACGATGGTTGGTGATTCTTTCCTTATAGAAGGAATTGCCTGATTTTTTCATTTACAGTATTTAAATTTATGTCTTCAAAGTGATCCAATTAGCAACATTGGATGGTTCGCCTCAGAATCGTATTTTGATAACATTAGCTGAATTAGTTACATTAAGATTTTACTCGAGAGAAAAAACTTTATTTCTTGATTACTATATTTTTTACTTTAACTATGAATATCTAAGAAACGAGAAATAATAATACAGAATATATAAGTTCTATCACCATTTTCAATTAGAGACAAATTATTGTTTTTGCTATATAATATATAGTAAATTATGTCGCATTATAAAATTTAAATAAAAAATTTATTATTTTTAAACTTCCCGCAGGGTAAGTTATTTTAATGGACCGAAAATCGAAATTGAAAATTATTACATTTCTCGACGTTTTGAAGGTTTCTGAACATTTTGGCATACCTCAGAAAAAAATGGATGTGTGTGTGTGTGTATGTATGTATGGATACAAATTTTCAGTCACGTTTTCGGGCGCACGGATCAACCGATTTGTATGGTTCAAAAAACATTCGATTCCTATTGATAGGAAAAAAAACCGATTAGTTTTTGGCAAAGGCAAGTCCAGCCGTTACGGAGATACGGAGCAAAGAGTGCAGAAAATAGAAATCGAGTTTTTGAGAGAACGGAGCATCCGATTTGAATGATCTAAAAAACATTCAATTAGTAATGATTGGAAGAATTGGTTATTAGTTTTTGGCAAAGGCAGGCCCAGTCATTTCGAAGATACAAAGCTAAATGTGCAAAAATGTCAATTTTTGAGAGAACTGAGCGTCCGTTTTGAATGATTCAAAGAATTTTCTGCTTGTTTTAACAAACTAATTGATTTTGGAAAAAAAATTATTTTAATTTTTTTTTCAATTTGTTTTTTTTTTCAAAAACAAATTTTTTTGTATATCGAAAATAATTCAGATTTTATTTTTAATTCTGACTAAAGTACTAATATACTTTTGAACAAATAATTTCAACTTTGCAATTCAGTTTATATAATTCTTATAAATATTAGACAATGTTACAATATTTATAATAATCTATTCTATCTATCTATCTATTTGAAAACATTCAATATACCTCGAATATTTCGTTACGGTACGGGAAGTTCCAGCAATTTGTCTTAAGGCACGATGCCACTAGTTATATTTTTTACTTTGACTATGAATCATCTGAGAAACGAGAAATAATAATACAGAATATATAAGTTTGATCACCACTTTAAAAAGAAAATTAGAGACAAGTTTATGTTTTTGAAATATTGCTATATAATATATATATAGTAAATTTTATATCGCATTATAAAATTTAAATAAAAAAAATATTATTTTTCATTTAACATAATTATTTCTTAAACTATTTTCTTAAAAATTTATTCTGATAGAGACCTGAAATGGATTATTTCGAGCATAATTAAATATTTGACTCGAAGTTTAAGACAAGAACTTTATTAACAACGATAACTAACTAAATTATAGAAAAAAGATGTTTTATTAATCTTAATCATAGTCGTCAATATAGTAATTTTAAACACTGTTTCTAACTCTCTATGACGGTAGCTGTAAATTATATAATTAGTCTCACTTTCATAATAAATAGAGCAACCGGTAAATAACTCTCGATATTCAACTTAGAAAAAATAATAACAACTAGTATCTCTGAAATATATTTTAAAATCTCGTTTTATTCAATTATCAAGAGAATTTAGTAATATGCAAATAAAATATTTAATTATACATACAGCAAGCACAACTTTCATACATTACTCTGAATTAAGATTTAACTTCTGCGTTATATTCATTTAGTAGGTTCTCCTATAAATGGTTGGAATGGACAAAAAGTTCGAAAGAGATATCAATATAATGAATATAATATTATATCTAGAACTTGAAGCATGGTGACATATTAAATATAATTGATGTATATCATAAAATGTTGCGGGTCTAAAAATAAAATCCACTTTTGCAGTAAAATTCTTCATAACAATTTGAATTTACTGTCAAAAGTCATCATTAAACAGCTTTTTGATAATCAGATTGTGTTATGTTCCAGGTTTCTCTTTAATAGGTAATTTTCAAAACTTTAATAAAAAATATCATTTGAACTGCGAATTGCATGTATTCATAATTAAAGCACAATGAATTCTGAGTCAACATTTCTTTATTCAAATGCTAAAATAAATATGAGTTTTTAATATACTATATATCATGCCTTTTAAAATGAGTTTGGCGTATATGCTGATTTATCATATATGTACAATAATTTCAGTAGATTTTATTAAAATTCATACGCTGAGGCCAAAAAAACTAACAGTATGTATTCGTTGTATTACTCATGTAATTAGTAATACTCTATATTTCATGTGCATTAGTACATTCACTTTATTTTAAATGTAAATCTATAAATATATTTAGAATTATATTATTTAAATTATTGTTAGTTACCAGTTTATTCAAAGCACTTGAAAGTTCAACAAACATCAAGTAAAATACAAGACCAATAACTTCTAAAAAAACTAAATAATAAAAAAGTGCAGCATTGATGAATTTCAAGACAAGATACTCAAATAATTGCCAAAGAAGGTAATAATTATGCCAACTCTGTGATACAAGTTGAGTAAAGGTCCAAAGATTTCAAATCATCAAAAATGATTTAAAAGCTAGGAGAATCAAGTTATTCATTACATCACGCAGGCCTTTAAGGCTACATAAAACTAAAACCCATTCTGTCTAAATTTCTAAAAAAATATTACTTCGAAATTGAATATTAAATGTTTCCTGGTAATGATTTACTATGGTTCGAAATGCTCATTGAACATCTATTACAATGCTTAACTACTTGCTATATCAATACAAAATCATTTTACGGACTATTAAGTCTTCTACTTCTCAAGCATCCAGTCATAGGATTTTCAGTCAAATAAATAAATACTTTGAACCAAAAAAAAATACAGATCTGCTGATAAAGTGTAACACAAAGGTGTTATAACTGAATTTACATTTCTGGTCCAAATTACCAGATTACTACTCAAATTACCAGATTACTACTCAAAATACTATAAGAAGATCATTAGTGCAATTTATGGTATTCAACTTTGGAGATGCTCCAGAAAACCTAACAGGGAAATCATGCAGCGCTGCTAATCTAAAATTCAAGTTCTGATTACTGGAATTTCATAATATCATATAATATATATGATAATATATGCCTCTTGCAGGAAACTTTAAAACAACTTGCCACTAGATCTAATTCTAGTCTAAGTCTTAATAAAGCTTGCTGTTTATTAGAAGAGCTACTATTAAGATATTATAATATTAGAAGAGATACTATTAAGTATTTTAAGTTATTCGAAATAAATAGTATATTCTTAATAAAAAAAATTTACATTTCGCCAATAGCTTGCACAAAATATGTTATAACAACTAATATAAAAAAACTAATAATTTTATTTGATATTTTTATTATTATTACTATAATATCATCAAATATTAGTGAAATTAGAAAGGAGTCAAAAAATATATCATAAAAATTCCATGATCGATATATTTATATTTTTTACATATTACGTAAATACTGCTTTTTCTTAAATATGTTAAATAACAAAAACTACATAAAAATACTTTTATCCAACGCCGAATGCGTTAGTTAATGCGGAGCGTGAAGACATAATGGCTATTTTATGTGAATTATTCATGCAACGTTTCATAAAATGTTACGAGAATTAACAGAAATTATACAAACGCAAAAGTTGAACATTGTAGGTATGAAATAAATGAAAATAAATATAGGGATATTTGCATATCAAACATAGATACTAGATATATTATCCATATTGTACAATAATTCACAATTAAATTTTATCATTAAAATGAAGAAAACCTATAAGAAATATTGCACTTAACTGCCAATTAGATCTGATCGACGCTTTTAACTTTTTGAAATCCAGCTCTTTATTAGGAAACGTCGACGTATTTTGACTCACATACACACATCGATGTCAAACGATTCAGAATGACTTGAAACATCGAGAAAACATACAACAAAATATAATGTCTTTATAGCAAAAGTATAAACTATTTTTTCGGAAGGTTTTTGGAACATTTTTTTTTTATTGTAATATCATTTTATCAAAAAATTTAAATGTAGAAAGCTTTTTACTATTAAATATTACCCTTCTTGCTCCTAACAATTCAGAATTTAGAGAACTGAAAAAAAAATTAAAGTAGCGGTACATGGCATCGTGCATTAAGGCAAGTTGCTGGAATATTAAGGCAAAGTAATGAAATATTCCAGAAATTTTATATATTTTCAAATAGATCATTATATAAATATTGTAACTTTCATTATTCGTCTTCTATAGACAGGGTAAAAGAGCGAATATATATGTTTACTTGAAAAGTAAATAAACAAAACTTAATCACGCGCGCTGGTTAGTTTTTAGCAAAGACAGGTCTACCCGTTTTGGAGATAAAGAGCAAAAATTGCTAAAAATTACAAGTTTTGCGAAAACAGCAACCGATTCGAATGATTTCATGAATTGCTTGTGTTGACAGCCTGAAGAAACAAAAGGAAACAGATTTTTTTTATTTAAAAATTTCAAAAAAAGATTTATTTTAATTTCCAAAAACATTTTCTTTAAACATTAAATGTTTCACATTTTAATTTTAATTTAAGCTAAAATTCTAAATGAATAATTTTTACTTTGCAATTCAAGTTTATATTATTCTTAGAAATATGAGATAAAACTCCGCGGAGTTAGTATCTCCAAATCGGCTGGACCAACATTTGGTCCAGGTATGCCCAAATGTTCAGACCTTCAAAACGTAAAGATACGAAAAAAAAAATCATTTTTGATTTTTTGACTTACAATATAAAACAATTCATACCCAACCTATTCGATAAGAATGAGATCTCAAAAATAATTTCATAAATAGTATTCAATACTACAATTTAGTATAACATTACTTATAATGGACTATGAGTTATAAAATATAAATCAATTAAATATTTTTAATTTTTATTAAACAGAAATTAAAAATAAATTAATAATATTACTAAGCTTATCCTTTAACACCATTAGTTGAACGTGAAAGTTATCTGCATCCAAATCGATTTAAAATTAATATCATCTCTACCTACCGAATATTTCGAATAATATATAAAATACATATAAGTGAATTCAAACAAAAATTACACGCAAATAAATTATTGAATCCTATTATTTGCGAAGCATTTGCTTTTCCATTTGTACAAAATATCGAAGCGTTTTTCTATAACAGTTATCATTTAAAATAAACGCTTTGAGAATAATATGAAATGTCTATTTTGCGTTAAGAAAAGTATAATAAAATGATTTTATCGTTCGTAAAGTAATGAAAAATTCTCGAATATCAAATTGAGAATATGTAAATGAACGCTGCATAAACAAACGATGTAATTTCTTCGAAATATAAAAATAATTCCTTTTCATTAAATGTGTTTATTAAAAATTATATCGTTGGAGGGAAAATTATACTTGGGTATTATAATATGATTTGATATACCTCAAAATTAAAACAAACTTGAGCGGATTTTGTAGACACAAATAAATTATATAATTTTTAATTATATAAATAAGCCTGTAATTATGCATTTTATTAAATAACTCATCAAATTAATCAGGTAATTATGATTGACAGTCGAGTGAAAAAATGGGCCATATTTTGTGTTTTGACCAGTATAGTCATGCGTATAAATAAGTGACCAATGGCTATTAACTTGTAACATTTGGGAAAAACAAATTATATCACCAAAGGTTATAGCATAGTACAAAATCGGTCTGATTCTAGTATTTAAACGATTTATACGCCATTTTTTGAAAAAATCCGATATACAAATTCTCAACTTCCAAGCTCATCATTTACCCGAGATATCATTGAAAATAGGAAATAGTGGGCCCTGTTTTCAAACTCACTCTCTTTCGAAACTATATGAGATATCAAGAAACTGATTTTTTTTTCCTGTGTTGATTATGTTCTATATAATAAATAATGTTAAATAGTAATAAAACAATAACAACTAATAAAAAAAAACAAATAGAAAATATCAACAATTTGATATGATCTCATGTTTGAGAAACTTTAACACTTCTCATAAGAATTGATTCAAGTATGGTGATAACTTTTTTAGATTTTCAATTGGCAAAGTATCATTGTGTATAATACTTCGTTAGGCTGAATATCACTCGCCAGAAAGAGTTTGTATTGTTACAAGGAAAAAGAAGAATGCAGATGATTACATACTTACATGAAAGGAGAAAAAATAGGGAATTAAAAATCAAAATACAAGACTGGCAAAAATGAAAGCAAAAGTTTAGATGAGCAAATAATAAAAATTATAGTAGTAATAATAATAATAAGAAAGAAAAGAAAAAGGCTGAAAAATGTGTTGTACTCTCACATCAGGACCTTCCTTCGAGCCCAACAATAATAATTATTATTATTATGCCATAAGAACATGCACTGTGATAAGTGACATTATTCTAAATTATATGTAACAAAAATTTTCTTTTAATAGTTTGGTAAATTTGTAAATTGTAAATGATTTTTACTTACATAGTTAAGAGCAAGATCAGGATGATTGGTCTGAATTCCGTCGTCGAGAATTGAGACAACGACTCCTTTTCCAGTGTATCCTTTTTGCCACGCGGGCGATACATTCATGTCAAGGCCATCCTTAGCGCCGCCGTTCTGCAAATAAATTGTGACATAAAACAGTTAAATCGAACATCAACTTGCAAAGAACTATTTTATTGTTTATTCAAGGCCTTACACCCTGCAATCATATAATAATAAAGAAATAATTAATTATTCTATATTATTATTTCTTTATTATACACACACACATACATCAATTTTTCTAACAATAAGGTATGCCAAAATGATCTGAAACCTTTGAAACGTAAAGATATATACCAATTTTCATTTTTGATTTTTTTTCGATTACTATAACTTACCCTAGGGGAAGTTAATTATTCTACATTATTCTATATTCTATTTTATTCTAGTATTATTGTAATAAAAAATAAACTGGGAAAATGGCTAGTGCTTCGAAACGCTGTTTGTTTAAGTATTTAAAAAATATTAGTTTTTCTATTAAATTGTACTCACTTTATTAATTGATAAACATGACAAATTAGTAAAAGTAATAAAAATATAATATCCATAGTAACACAGAAACCATTTCATGAAGGGGAGACTGGGCCACTTTTTTTTTGATCCCATAAATTTAATCAGTTCTCCATTTTGTCTATGTATGCAAATTTCTTTTAATGATATTCGCCGTTCCGTTTCTCAAAAAATGAATGATTATTTTTGGAATTTTGGCCCGTATTTCCGAAACAGTTGAACCTGTCTTGGCCAATAACTAATCAGCACGTCTCGCTATCAATAGAAATCGAATTATTCAAATAAAATTTAATTTTAATAAATTAATAATTTTTAAAAAATGTTGAAATATAAAAAAAAGTTTTTTTAAATTCAATTTTTTATCATTTTTCAAAAAAATTTAAAGTTTCTTATAAAATGTAATTTTCAGCACGGAAAGTTTCAGTAACTTGCCGTAAGACACATAATTAATTTTTTTTGGCTCTATGAGATTGGAAGTGCACAAATTCGTCATCTTAAGAGGGTTCGAGAACTGAAGAACATATTTTTCTTAAACTTTCAACACACTTTGTACGAATCTTTATATTAGCCAAATTGCCAAACTTTGCATTGCATTTGCATAATGTTTTGTTAATTATATTTCTCAAAATTAAAAATGTTATTATAAAAATGAGTTGATTATATGGTATAGAATTTTCTTATCACTATCCAAAGTTTGCCGCCCTGGGCAGTAGCCCCGACTAAATCCAGCACTGTATGTAACACTCATTTTTTGAACAATTTATAAAAGCAATTAATCAAATAATTGTCAAACTCAAAATCAATTGCAATTGATACCTTAATTGGTGCAATTAAGGTATCGTTGATTTGTTGTTGTTTAAAATGTTATTTGATATTTTTTCTACATTACATCACTCCTAGTTAGAGCAACAAAATTTTATTCATAAAATTGTTCAATGGTAAGTTCTTGAAAAATACTAATTTTAAAATAGGACAGCTCCTTTGTAAAATATTTATTTTGTCAATATGGAAGTCATGAATTCTAAACGACTCATTAAAATGTAAACCTTCAATTAAAAGCATTGATATAGAAATCGAGATTTGGCTCAACAATGCTATATATAATTAATTAGCGTTTTTGATCATATTGTCTATGTGAAGTTAATTACTGAAGTAAGATGTGTGCTTTTAAATAATTATAATAAATAAACTAGTGGGGTGTATGGAATCGTGCCCTAAAGCAAATTGCTGGAACTTCCCGTACCGTAACGAAATGATCGAGAATCATTAAATGTTTTCAAATAGATTATTATAAATAAATAATGTAACATTGTCTAATATTTATAACAATTATATAAACTGAATTGCAGAGTTGAAATTATTTGTTTAAAGTATATTAGAACTTTAGTCAGTATTAAAATTAAAATCTGAAATATTTTCGATATACAAAAAAAATCTTTTTGAAAAAAAAATTGAAAAAAAAAAATTTGAAATAAATTTTTTTCCAGAATCAATTATTTTGTTAAAACAAACAGAAAGTTCTTTGAATCATTTAAATTAGACGCTTAGCTCTCTCACAAACTGCCATTCTTTGCACATTTAGCTCTGTATCTTCGAAATGGCTGGGCATGCCTTTGCCAAAAACTAATCATCTCTTCTCACAATCATTATAAATTAAATTTGTTTTAGATCATCCAAATCTGATGTTACGTTCTCTCAAAAACTCGATTTCTATTTTTTGCACTCTTTGCTCTTTATCTCGGTAACTGCTGGACCTGCCTTTGCCAAAAACTAATCACCACATCTCCCTATCAATAGGAATCGAATGTTTTTTGAACTATTCAAATCGGTTGATCCTTGCGCCCAAACACGTGAGTAGAAAATTTTATCCATACATATATACACACATATCCATTTTTTCTGAGGTATGCCAAAATGTTCAGAAATCTTCAAAACGACGAGAAGTGCAAAAATTTTCAATTTCGATTTTTGGACGATTACAATAACTTACCCTACGGGAAGCTAATAATATATTATGATTATAATAATTATTTTGAATAACCTGCGATGCACTTCAAATAAGCATAAATGCTTCAGGTTTTATTAATGCATTCGCTTTAAAGACACTAAATTGATGTCAAGTAGAACAAAATAAAAAACAGCGGCTGCGAAAAATATCTCTTTACAAGAAACATCACTCAGAATCTCTTTTATCTCAAAATAGTCTTTTACTTCATTGAAATATCGTATGAAAGTTTTCAGCGTGCTCGTGCTTCGACTTCTATTTCTCGAACTGAATAGATGTCACTATCTTGGATAACTTATGCAACAGGCGTTACTCCGCCGGCTGCACTAAATCTTACAGAATATTTACCGCAGGCGAAATGCCATATGCGCTATCTCATACATGCCGTATTGCACATACACATAATTTATGTGGAAATACATATCGAACGTATATAAGGAGACCGATAGAAAATTAATGGGCCCTACGATGTGGGTTATGTTTCGCTAGAATATAACGATATTTTATACAGGACTTCCGTTGGTGATAATATCATTTGTCGTTTTGAATAAAAATCAATTAAACATAATATAATTTCAGCAAATATTAACTCTTTCCACTCGCGAACTACGAAATTATTATGGAAACACATCAATACAAAAAATCTATGCATCATTTCATCCTATCAATCTCGAAGATGGCCCCAATTAATTGCTGCCCATAAATTCCACGTAACTCATATATGGTCCTTCGCTTTTATCCTTGCGAAATTCGTTGGTAAGCATTACTTCATGGTGGAAGAATCATAAACTGAGGTGTTACCCTTTTGTTCCCTCTAATTGACATCATATACTCTCATTCTTTCCATAATACGAAAGTCTATAAGGACTTTTGTGAATCACTTACAAGAAGTTACAAACTGCATCTGATGTCAACAACACCTCCACTAGCGATTCCTATTAAATACAATCTCTATATCATCACGTTGTGCACTAAAACGTGGGCACACAAGGAAAACATGCTTCACGTTTTCAATTTTACTTGTACCACGCTGGAAATTTATTGTACTTGAAACGGTTTGGTTTGCTTGAAAAAAGGCCGTACCCGGATAACATCTGTTCAAGATAATAGATCACCTTGCCGTGGCTCCAATTCACTCAAACTTTGATTTTTAGTGTAAGACAATACATTCCTTACTCTTCACTCTGACATCCAATTGGAGCTGTCATCGAATAATTCTGCCGTTCTTTGATTCTTAATTTTTCAGGACTCATTACTGATGACTTTCGACATTGGTGAAGGTTCTGCCCTTATATACTGAATTTTACACAATTTTTTTTTGAATGCACTAATTTGTTTTAATATAAGGCAACCAAGCAAATAATAATAAAAATAAATATATTGACTAAATAATTTACTCTTCTAGTCAATTAAAAAAATGCCAATTAAGATATAAAAAACGTCCATGGTGATAAATTTAATTATAAACAATTTCAACCAGATTTATGATACAAATTTCATACATAAAATCAGGAAATAAATTAATTGATGACAGAAACGAACATTTAAAACGAATTTTATCGGCTTGTCGAGCAAGCCGGAATGGTCAATAAATTTTAAAATATTAGTAACGGATTTTGACTATGATTTTGTGTTTTAGAATATCAAATATTTTTGACGCCATACCCTATATATACCCTGTATATATATATATATATATATATATATATATATATATATACATATAATATAATTTTAATTGGAAAACTCACTACTTTGAAATTCGAAAAATTCTTATTTTTACCATCATTTTGCATTTTCTGCATTTTTTATATAATTTATTACAAGCACTTCACATTTTGAAAGAATAGTAGAACGACGTTGTTACTTCAAACAATTATCTTAAATTAGAAAAAAATCTTGTATTAACTACTTTCTTAATAAAAGAGTAAAATTATAATATTGAACAACATTGATTTTATTTATTTTCATTACCAACATTTATTTATTTTTATTTACTCTATTTGTTTAATATGTTACTAAAAATGCAGCGATATTGTAAAATTTAAATATAGTTAAAAATATAAAACTAGAATTTTACATCCTCACTCACTTCTATGAAACTTTTTACCCGAATTATGAATTTTTCTTCATATAATCCGTAATGAAAACCGACGAGTTTGAAAAGCACAAATAAATATATTTTTTCGTGTCGGTTGTAATTACTCTCTTGATAAAATTGCGGAACTGCGCTCCGTATATGTTGCAAAGTATCGTGAAACTTCAAAGCTCCAGAGAGAGCTTTTGGAACGCAGCAAATAATTATAAGAGTAAAACTGAATATTTATAATGGCTTCTATAACTATGCTCACAAGAATATATTATACTGCAGTAATCTAAGTTCGTATTTACATTTGTAGAAAAGAAATAATTTGATACAATTTTTTTTAAGAATAAACATCTTTTTCGAGCATTTTTTAGTCAATTTATCAAATCAAATAGAAATAAAACTGTTCAGCCCACACAAATATATACCTATACATAATATAATTATATGTATAGTGTATCTGTTTATAAT